ATAAACAAACAGTAAAACAGTTTAATCGAACCTGTATCCTATACGGCGTTAGGTTAGCTTTTACTGCCTTTAAACTTTAATCTTCCATGAATCTCTCATACATTCATATCCATTTTCAAATGAAACAAATGACGTCAGAAAAAAAGAAATTATTTTAAGACATTTTAATGTTTATACATTCTTTTTATAGATAGAAATATTTAATCATCAACATTTACCGGTCTGAATGTTCGAAAATTTTTCATAGAAAATTAATTAAAACAGTTTAGATCACATGAGAAATTGTATTTAGACAAAAATTTATCATCTGAAATTAAATCGCACTTTGTCGTATATAAAAAAATAAATTAAAGCACTTTGTCGTATTCAATGAAATGTGCATGAAAGAAGGATTGCTCTCTCTCTCTCTCTATCTATATATATATATATATATATATATATATATATATATATATATATATATATATATACCAGTCTCCATTGTATTTGTAAAAATCATTCATAAGCTTATCAAATAAATATTAAACAAGACCCTACTGGATAAGCTCTTCTTTTTTAAATTGAAAGATTAGGACGATAATCCATGGATTAGCACTGATGACTTCAAGGATTCTAGCGCTTTCTGTGGAGCCTTCTTTTTAAAATCCTAAGACCCACAGCATCCTATCATAGCACCCAAATGATGCCAGCGAGTCGTCAGAAACACGAACTACAAATAAACTGCGAGTTTCTTATTTCTGATGAATGAAAACCTATTTACTTACTGAAATCTTACGATGTAATCTATGCGTACTGAGGATAAGTGGAATGCTTAAGAGCTTTTATGATATCAAAAGACACCATGATGGAAATTAAGGATGGGTGATCTAGGCGCTTCGAAAAAAGAATGGTGGTAATATTATTACCGAATTTTAATTAATTACTACTGCGAAATGAATATTCTTTTAGCTATTGTGTCCCGTCAGGACTTAGATGATGATGGCTCTCCTTAGCTTCCTATCCATTGATTTCTTTGAGGAATGTTTGTCTTCTTATTATACTCTTCAGTCTCTGTCCTGCTATCTATTTACAAAAGCTCATTACTTACTATTTCCCTCTTTTCCTCTACTTTCTTTCTATATCCTGTGTGTGTAAACTTTTCCAAGCCCTCTTTCCTCATTATGTGTCCTGGAAATTTAAATATCCTTTTTGCTTCTTTTTTTCAAAATTTCTTCGTAGCTCACATATTCCACTCATAGTATTCTCAGCATCCTTCTGTAGAATCACATCGGCGAGGAAATTGTCCAGCATACACTTTAATAGAGGTGAATTGATATTTGATGTTGAGAATTGATATTAATATTACTCTTTTTGTCTCTAACGAAATTTTCCAGGTTTTTAATGATTTTTAACTTTCGCTATCCCAATGCGTCTTCGGATTTCGGTGTCACTTTTATCGTCCTCTCTTTATACATATTCTGAATATAATAAACAATTTCCTATTTTATTATATTTTTGCAAAACTTTCTGGCGTTCTTTTCTGAAATATAACAATTGAACGCAAAGTGAAATCCGACTTTTTGTTGGAAACCTTTGTACGCATTTAATAATTAAACAAAACCAAAGATAGTTCCTTGCCATGTCTCTGTTGTTGATATTTACTAAACATAAATTAGCACGACACAAGGCCAAGTGGAGGGGTTTCGTATTTAAGGAGATTCTCTTATACCTGCATCATATTTAAGAAGAGAACACCTATCATTATCTGCATAAAAAAATACACTATCTTTCCATGTCATTTATATTATTTACAATATTCGGATTATTATCCTCATCTTCATTGCCATATTCACAACGTTTCAGCCGTTGTACTCTCCGGTCTTCTTCAAGTGACTGGAAGTTGGAACCGGTCCCTTTATTTCTTTCCCTGGGGTACAACGGTCGAAACGTTGTGTATATGGCAATGCAGATGAAGATAACAGTCCGAATAATGTAAATAATGTAAGTAATCATAATACCTCATCTCAGAGATATAGACAGATACTTTCCATGTTATCTTTCATCTTTTACGATATAATCCTGTTCTAAGATATCCTTAAAAGTTAAGCGTTCGCTTTCCGTCTTATTATTCATGCAGTTCATGTTATTTTTTTCACAGAGCAAACACAAAAATAAAAATAAATAAAACACTTAAAAATGCAAACCAAACAGAACGTCTTGCCTTCTCGGCAAATGATGATGTCCAGACAATACTACTATTAATACAGTTGTCGTTATCCGCTCGCATACAAGCATCGGAATAGTCATCCTCTCTCCGTATTCTGAGTAGCCAACACACTTGGCCAAAAGCGCCTCCTTCGCGTCTCAAAGAAGACTGAGACAGGCGAGATCTGGCAAACCTGGTTGCATCCCGATATCAGATGCCTGGTCCGTCGTGGTCCGCCTTGGTTGCACCAGCCCGACTGACGCTGCCTTTTCCCACCGATTTGGCCGTTGAGATCGTGTAGATTTTACTTATTCCGCCGTTGGGGACTTTGGGAGTTGGTGATGTTCAGTTTGGTCCTCCCTCTTCCCCTACCGCCATGGGTGGCCCTACAGGAGTTGGAATTCCAGACCGCTTCGCTCTTGGGATCACTGGGACAAGTAAGCCCTCTACCATGACAAGGAACGAACACATATGTTTAATACTGGATGTTGAATTGAACAGTTCGTAATCAAATTTACCATTTAGTAAAGTATTAGTGATTCATGTTATTATTAGTATGGTATTAGTGATTCATACTATTATTAGGATAGCATTAGTGATTCCTACTATTAATGACTCAAACTACTAACCTTAACGATACAAAAGTGCGCAAAATTTGTGGCTCTTAAGAATCAAATTATGAAAGATAACAGCATAAAATTTGTACTCATTAAGTTTTAACTTAGTATAGATCGGGGTATCAACTATTAACTAAAAAAAATTAGCGGAAATTAAGATTCGTTAAATGCATATATTAGACAAGGAAACAATAACATTAAGGTCAGTAATTATACTACTACTACTACTAATAGTAATAATAATAACAAAATATTACAAATATATATATATATATATATATAATATATATATGTGTATGTGTGTGTTGGCATGTATGTATGTATATTAAACCCTTCCGATGATGGCACAACCAGTAAAAAAGTTTCAAAATTGTTTGGCATACAAATCGTTCCTTACATTTTCATTTAACTCTGCTCTACTCAAAAATTACTTTCTTGATAATAAGCGGAGCATTTTTAGTGTTTATTGGATACATTCTTGACTAGACTGTACTTTCAGAGGACCAGAAGTACTGACACTGAAATCCGAAGACGTATTTGGATATTCGAATATGTCTTCCAATAGCTAAACAGATTAAGAGACAGGCAATAATCATGTTAGGAACAAAGAAAAGAGTACTGAACTGTTACCTCATATCAGTCCTTCTATATGGCAGTGAATGCTGGATAATTCCCTCAGAGACGAGGAAGAGACTTGAGGAAACAGAAATGTGGTTTTACGGAAGCATGCTGATGATACCATGGATGGAATATGTGAGCAACGAGCTTTTAGAGAAAATGGAAACAAAAATGAAGCATATACTGAACATCAGGAAGAGACAATTGAAATTTCTGACGCACATAATCAGGATGGACGGTTTGGAAAATCTGATACCCACTGGACGGACTCAGGGCAAGAGGGACAGATGAAAACAGTGCATAACATACTTGATGAACTTATGTAAATAAATGGTGGAACATAGTTTTGCTAAAATAACAAAAAGTTTAATTTTTTAGGAGCTACAACAGAACAGTGTGAAGGGTGTTAAGTCTATTGGCTGGGTGGTTGTTTTTATTTAGCGGCACATCAATATCTCTATGGGTTATTTAATGCTGAAATCTAAATATTTTGTACGCAATTTTATGGCTTCAACTACAAATATTTTGTACATAATTGTATACTTTTAGTGCAAACGTATATTTTTGAGATATATAATTTGTAAATGACAAAATATATTGCTGATAATTTTACTATAAAAATGTATTTTTTTATATGCTGTATTAATTGTCATTTTGCTATAAAATGTATTACTACTAGTAATTATTTAAATTAATAAATTGCTGGTATGTTTACCATAATGTATATTTATACTTTCTTAGTGAATCATCAAACAAAAATCAAAACACTATTTGCCCATAGCTTGGACCCTAACAGGTGCTACCACCTCGGGTTAAGGGAGACTTGGGTACAACAGCAATTAAAAGGTGGTTCTACGCTCTTCAAAACCTCTAATCTTTCGAAATATCTAAAGTGTCTGCTGTATACAACCACTTTCTCAGATCAATGATTAAAAATAACTTTGAATAAATGAAATCTGTAGGTCTTAGTGAGGACTATCTTTCTTCAAACCTTGTGAACTGGTGCTACAGAAGTTCTATGAAACACAATATTTATTTGTCAAATATTAATACTATTACTTCTACTACAGATAATAATAATATTAACAATAATGCCAGTTATCAATAGCAAAAAGACAATATGAGGTATTTCGCTCTTCCAATGGACTAGAAAGTAAATTGAAAACAAAGTGAAAAAATTAGAAAAAAATATCTTCACCTTATGAGAAAATTAAGAACATTAAGGAACATAAAGTTGACAGTCGTGCCTATCACTGTTGGAGTACATGAAAAAGATCCCAAGAGCGCAGCAAAATGATTGAAAGAAGTAAAAATCCAAGAAATATTTGTTAGTTGGTTGTTTTTGTTTAGCGGCATATCAACCTCTATGGGTCATTTAATATCAAAATCTAAATATGTTGTACGCAATTCTATGTTTTTTAGTGATACATCGCTTACTAATTAATTAAGAGGTTGATTCATACATTTCCCAAGGGTATTTGCACGTAAATGAATATAACGAACCCAGTTGGAATTAGAACTCGGCTCTCCGATGAATAATTACGAACCATTATCCATTACACCTCCCACGCATCAAAGCCTTACAGTACTTGCTACTCTCAAGTGGTCACCCATCTAGGTAATAACCAGTCCCGACGTTGTTTAACTTCAGTAATCGCACGGGAATCGTTGTTTCAACGTGATGTGGCCGTAAGCCTAAGTCTACTGGAATTATCTGCTCGCCTTGTAAGGAGGGACATAACAGGTGTCACCTGACCCTCGTCCAATGACTGCAAAAACGGCGTAATGGGAATTAAACTCTTTGGAATTGATCGCTCGCCCTGTAAGGGAAGACATGAACGACAGGCGTCACCGGACCGTCATCCAGCGACTGTTCGCATCAAGCAAAAATAATTCTCGGGATGTGTAATGTCAGAACACTAAATAAATGTGGTTAGTTAGAAATATAAGTCAGGAAATGAAAAATGTTAAAGATTAATATTTTAGGCGTTATCTGGAACGAGGTAGGCAACCAATGAAGATTTCATCGGTGTCAAACACTGGGTCATATACGCAGGAGTAGATAAACATGAAAGAGGTGTAGGATTGATATTAGATCAAGACATGAAAAAAATTGTTCTGGGACACTATTAACTGGCTGAAAGAATTCTTGTAGTTAAACTGAAAGTGAAACCTTTCAACATATCCATCATATATGCATATGCATTGACAACTCAAAGAACAGTAAGAGAAATTGAAAGATTTAACTGTATGTTTGACAAAGTCAGTGAAAATCGCAATAAAACATAATCGTCATGGGAGGCTTGAATGTCAAAGTAGGCAAGGAAAGAGATGATGAAATAGTTGGAAAATTCGGACTAGGAACTCGTAATGAACGCGGAGAAAAATTGGTTCAATGGTGTACGGCGAATGACCAGGTAGTAGCCAACGCCTGGTTTCAAGAACACTGAAGACGTATGGAGAAGTTCAAGAGGATAACTCTTCCCCCCCCCGCCAAAAAATCAACTATATAACTATCAATAAGAGATTCTTGAATGCAATTTTACACTGCAAAACATACCCAAGTGCTGACTACGGGAGAATCCACCTTCCGATGATATGTAAAGTTAGAGTGAAACTACGGAAATTGTAGAGGGCCAAGGCAGCACCCAACTTGCAATACGACATACCTTAAGTGGAACTCATATATACAATTCATTGCTAACGATCCTGGTAAAATAGTCGTTCTATTATACCGCTCCCAGAAAATATGTAACTTCAGGACGTCGGCGATCATGGCTTTTCACAATTTCCTGTCCTTTGTAGCTCTTAATAAATTCTGTCTTTTTATCTCTCTTTAAACTTGTTCCCAAACCCATTTACACAAGCTCGCTAGATATGTTATATGTTGTTTCCCTCCTTCCCGTTTGCCTTCAATCTGTTTTGTAAGTATCAAGTTTTCCAAGCTCTGTTTCTTTATTATGTGCCCTAGAAATTTCAAATCTCTTCAATATAGTCTCCTTCATTACCAGTAAAATTAAGCTTTTCTCCGTTGATCACATAGATCACATAATACACAATGAAATTTCAGAGCAAATTTCCATTACGAACTAAGTTACACTACAGACTAATTGATTTGCTCTCATATATTTAATGATCGTTACACACCAGGCCATATTTATGAAGTACGTAATAAGAAAATAAACACACGAACCACAATATTATAATAGACAGTCTACTAGATAACGCATGCGCACATATGCAAGTAATCGCCATCTAGGTAGGCAATGTGGTTGGCAAACTGACACGTGACAGAACAAGATTTTTGATTTCGTAAACACCCATTCTTCAAACAAATTTTCTAACAGGAATTGGAATATAGACAAAGTACTGACATCCTTTTAAAGCGATGTTAGCTGTTTTATCATTTCGAGTGGGATTTTGAAATGATTCTCGTCCTAACAGATAGTAGATTTATTTCTTGCACACATACAAAATGTGCAAAATGTGGTGCAGCGGTTGGCAACTCTGACTTTTGTGCCTTTGTTGTTTAGCTCGATTCTTACATGATTCTCTTTAGCTTATTTTTTGCAAGACTAACAAATAAATATCTATAAGCTGAAAAGGAATTAATGGAATCAGAAATATGAATTCAATAGGGTAACATGGCTAATGTATCTTTTCTCCTTTATGGCAGTCAATGCCGGACATTTTTCTTCCAGATGAAGAAGGCCAAAGTGGTGAAGATGTCGTTCTCCAGACGGATGGTGATAATGCGATAGAGAGAACACGAGAACAACAAGGAAGCTCTAAAATGAGACTAGAAAAACACTCATATTAAAAAGCAGAAAGAGATAGCTGAAATTCCTGGGACACATTATGAGGAAGGAAGGTTTGGAAAATTTATTACTCACTAGGCCTATTTTAGGAGAGTAAGTTAGAACCAAACAGAACTACTTAGTTAACCGGTTTGTGCGAATGGGTAGCAGAGTAGGGATCGTAATGAGTCAAACGTCATTTAGAGCTACAAAGGATTGGACAATCTGGATGGTCATGATCGATAACACCCTAAAGTGTCACGGCAAGTGACGATGATGACAAAAATTGAACATAAAATTACTTAAAACTGTATTGTCATAGTTTCCAAGATATTTGTTTTTTTTATTTTTTTAAATCTCTACATCAATAAATTATCAAATCATCTGAGCAACATATGTTTCAAATTTGACTTTTTCCAGTATTTCAAAAGTTACGGTAATTGATACAATGCAGTAATGTTGGAAGAATTTGTTACCAAACTCACAGTCACAAGATTAAAGATAAAACCAGAAGAAACGTTGATATTTTTGGTGGGGATGAGCAATTTACTATCATAATATTCAAGACGCTAATGAAAAAATGAACTTGTTTTGCATTTGTAAATAAAACACAGTTGTCTGAATACTGCCCGTCTGAAGCGGAATATTTTTATCTTCATTGACGGGCTGGTGAAACTCGTTAACACGCTCTTTTTGAACAATGAAACCTACTATCGAATAGATATTATCTTGGTTTTAGAAAGCTTACGATGATAAACGAAGAGAAATGAAAAGAAAGAAGGAAGGAAAACAAAATGAAAGAAAAAAGAGAAACTAAAAGAAAAAATGAAATGAAAAGAAAAAAGTGAAAAGAAAAAGAGAAAAGAAAGAAAGAAAGAAAGAAAGAGAGAAAGAAAGAGGATAATCTCTCCATATTCTAAGTGTCATTAAGGTGGAAATTAATGCTAACCACGTAACTTGTAGCAGGTTAGCCTTTTCTATCTCCCACCATCCCAAATCAGTTTTAACAATTGTGTGGAAAATTCAAATAGAGAAAGGATTGGCTACCACCATCTACGTACCCAGCAAACGGAATTCGCTGATTAGTGTCATGGCATCACATAACCGCATATATCCATTAACACCAGTACAGAAACGGTCGTACTGAACACACACACACACACACAAACACATACACACACACACGCGCGCACACACACAAAATATGTATTAATGTGACTAAATTGGAATTCTAAGATTTTGTTGCGACAACCTTACAATTAGGGAAGTGGCTAAATACTGTTTGCGACAAAATTATGAAAAAACCTGTGAGTCTGAGGATGGTTGAACAGACAGAATGGAGTCGTTACGCGCCAATGCAACCATTAATGTATCCCTATGTAAAAAAATAATTCCTAAAACCTGAATGAATAAGTTTCTGGACAATTTATATCCATAAATAAAGTATTTATCAGGAATACCATATATATTGCGTTGATCAAAAGGTTCATTCGCAGATTAAGTAAAAAATAGACCGAATGAATTTTGATCAACCAATATATATATATATATATATATATATATATATATATATATATATATATATATATATATATATAAACCGGATGTAATAGCAAAACTGTCCAAATCGTGTTACAGCAAAATGTTTAATATGTAAAACAACCACTAAACCACGCGAATTGAAGGGTGGACCAATAACTCCGTGGCCGTTGTAAGTGGGAATACCTAGCCATTACCATTATACATACATACATACATACATACATATATATATATATATATATATATATATATATATATATATATATATATAATTATTTATTTAAAATATGATTTTAAATCGCTACATAATATTTTTAAATAAATAATTATATAATATTTTTAAATAAATAATTATATTTATGCTCTACTTTTGTATCGAGCACTATTTTTTAAAAATAATAACTAAAATACTAAGGACTTTGGATTATTTACCTAACCAGTTCCTTCCTATTTTCTATATATTTTCACATATTATATATATATATATATATATATATATATATATATATATATATATATATATATTTATCCTTCGAACTATATATATATATAATATAAAGTCTCAAACACTGATATTCTATGATTATAATTTATTACATTAAAATCATATATATATATATATATATATATATATATATATATATATATATATATTGTACAAGGGATAAATTTTCGTCTAAATTATGCAAAAATGAAAATAACACTGGCATATCATTTTAACAGATATATTTACCAAAATTACGCAAAAAATATCTTGAAATACTAAAGAGTAGATTTATTCAATAAATTCATAATTGGTTCCGCCAGGGCCTCCAGACGACTTCGGAATCTTCTGCAACTCTTCTGGACGGTTTCCTTGTTTAAGTTGGTGAATGCTGCCATAATTCTTACCTTCAGTTCATCTTTGGTGTTACATGGACTTGTGTTTGTCTCTCGTTCAACTGCTCCTGATACACAATAACCAATGTGTTGCAGTCTAGTGAGTTAGGTCGCAAACAGTGATGTGGTCGCAAAAATTGACTGACAGCCCTGACTAGATTGTCCTATTTGTGTGACATGCTGTAGAGTCCTGTAGCCAGACATAGGGTCTCCCAGCAGCCACTCTCTTGACCCTGGGCAGCACTATCTCCTTAAGGCACCTGATGTAGGTATCTATGTTGAGACTGAGGCCCTCACCAACATTTTTTTTCTTATCAGAACGATCAGTGAGTTTTCCGAACTGTCGAACCTTCGTAATCACCATTAGACTCATCCAACTCTTCCAGAAACCTCATTAAAAACGACTGACAAGGTACTGCGGTTAAGTTATTTACTTTTTCTTGTGTTCTTATAATTTAAATTTTCTTCTTTTCTG